AAAGTGCAGAAACGATTAGTTGAGCAACAAAAAATATCAATACAGCTATATGGATCAGTTCATTTGGTCAATTTTAGAGCAAAAATGCCAAATACTTTCAGGTTGAAGCTTCTCAGTTGTGAGGATCTGAAGCTATTCATCGCTGTATTTGATAGCAAACTGAATATACTTGGGTTTTGGAGTGATTGCCAGATGAACCCTGGGAAATTTAAATGGGCCTTGTTCACCATTTTCTGACATTTTATAGACTGAACATTTACTTGAATAATTGAGAAAATAATCTGCAAATTAATCCATAATGAAAATGATCATTTGCTGCCTTCCACTTGTGCTTCAGGAAACTGTATTTCTCATTATCTGACATTTTACAGGCAGAATTATCAATCCGTTAATCAAGACACTAACTGGCACATTAACCAATAATGAAAATAATCCTTAATTGCAGCCCAACTTCAAAATGCACAAATGCACATACGACATTTTTAACAAACCCAGTCGCCATGGCAACATCAAGCCTTCTTCCTTCCTGCTGGTTTGGCTGTGAAGCACTTCACCGACACTATAAATCTGACACGCCGGAGCCTCAGCGGAGCAAAGCAAACCTGCAGCCAACAACCTCTAATAGCCTCTCCTTGTTCCTCTTGAGCTGTGAGATGGCTTTTGTGATGCACCATCTACTGCAGAGATGCCCCGGAGACACGGACTGATTTATTACGCTCTGCAAAGTGGAAGCATCCACATCACATGAAGCAGATTCACGACTTAGCCCACAGCACTTTGCTCACTGAAAATCTAACCGGCAGTCATACAAGAATGAGATACATTTAAACTAGACTAAAGATTTAGTTTAAACAATTGTACTGCCATGCAACAGTCCTGTGCCCCCTTAAGATGAAGCAATATCTAGAGTATTTGTGACGCCCTCTCCACAGGTTAGGGGTTTAAGTTTGGAGTTGAGAACAGTTCAACAAAATTTGAGAACATTTTTTTTTTACTTCTTAGATTGTTTGATTTTTTATTTTATATTTCACAAAAAAAACCCAAAAGTATAAGAATTACAGGAAAAGTACATAAAGTATATACAGTTTTGATTTTCTTTAGGGTTGCATCTACTGATTATTTCTATTATTGATTAATCTGCCATTTTTTTTCCTCAATTAATCGATTGTTCTAGGGCTGCAGCTATCTCAATGTCCTAGAGCCCTGACCTCATCAAATGTTCAACAGTCTAACTATTATTATACCATAGGAGAGAGAACCAGCAAATTTTGACATTTGAGAACCTGAATGATTGAATTTTAGGCCTTTTTGCTTGAAAAATGACTTAAATGATAAGCTGATCATTTCAATATAATAATACCAACCACAGTTTTCTATACAGCCCAATGTGATATCATCAAATTGCTCATTTTGTTCAACCAACAGACCCAAATCCTTAATTCTGCTCTGATTTTCAAGACCATAAAAGAGTAGTTGAAGAGTTTAAGAGATGTCCAAGATTTTATATTAAAAACCCCACTTCAGCCCACTCTGGCAAACTGAGAGCTGGCATGAAAAATAAATGAGTCATTTACTACATTACGAGTTTGGCAACAGAGCCATCTGTGCTGTTGAAATACTGGCAGATGAATTTCAGTAAAGTGAAAACTGAGTTTAAATGTTAGGAAAGGCCTTAACCCACACTGTTTATCTCCTTATATATTTATTATCAGGCAGGGACCTGGACGCTCCTACAGGAAGTTTCAGCCCAGGATGTAAGAGCTGAAAACATAGACTGTGTTGAAGCCTGAACTGCACTGTAAAGCCTGCTGGTTTGATTATGCTGATTCAGGATCTGTAGGCACAGTGCAGCAGAGTCAGACAGTGTAGACACGAGAGGGGATTTCTAAAACAGCTCATACATAACACAATGCCTAAATACAGCAGCGTGCATTTCATGACTGGTTTGCTAAATCATCTTTGGGTGCAAAATGTCTTGAAAAACTTCTACCACCACACACTCTTTTCCTTTTCCATCATGGTTGCTTCAGGTATGTGAGAAGAAAAACACAAAGCAATCAATCATATTTTTCTCTGCATATACAGTACGGAGAACAAAAAATAGATCATTTAATTTAATTATCATCATTTTGTTTAGTCTCAGTTTGCAAGAAAAACTACTGCTTTTTTATGCAATTGTTATCTCATACTGGACGCAATGACAGTTCTGTCCTTCTTCCAACTGAATCTCACCACACACCATCACAAGTTAAAGCCCTGAATCCTTTCATGTGCAGCATCTGCTGGAAAGAGAGAACAACGGGATGCAGACCCCTGGGCCTTTAAGGAAATGCAGCCCTGCCTCTTTCCCATGATCCCTTGTGAGGATCCTATCTCAGGCTCCAGTTACCTTACAGTTCAAGCCAAAGTGAAAGCCCTGCTCTCTCACCATTCAGCCTGTATCTGAGCCTCTGAGCACACATGAAGGATCCTTTCCACTGAGCGGTGTAAATTATCAGCTACAGTGTTTGTTCAGACATTACATACAGTGAAACCTCATACAGGAATTTAGTGGAATCAACTCCTTTTCCATCATTAATTTAATATAAATAAGTTTTGTTCATTTCTGGTTAATTCAACTTAAAACCACTTCAGAACTTGAGTTGAGTTGTTCTAACTTGAAGTGCTTTGACTTGAAATGATGAACTGAATTAATGAACTTCTGAGAGTTCACTCAGCTCATTAAATTAAGTTTTGAGGTGCAGTGCCGACAAACTGCGTGAATGGAAAAAAATATCATGAGAGTTCTGTACCGCTCTTGAGAGATGGACACTTTGACCTGAATATAAAACAATATGTTTTTCTGGAAATTAGGCTTGAAGTGGGGGTTACCACTACCTTTAACATGAAATATTACAAATGATATTTTCTGACTTTAAGGAAGCCTTTTCACTCTCACTTGAACAAGTGAAATTTTATCATGTAGTTTAAAAAAAAAAAAATCTCCAAATCCAGCCATCCTACATGCTAACAGACCTTGTAGGAGAGCAGTATGTAACTTTGAAACACTTGCACGCTCTTCAGTGTTGTGGTAATTCTCAGAGGAACTGAGATAAAATTAACATTTTATTTGTATTGATCCAAACCAAGACATAGATGGAAAAGCTTGAAGCCATATCCAGGGTTACAAAGGCTAAAAGGACAACTAGAGAAGAACAACTGCTCTCTTTCAATCATCTAATGCCTAATGTGAGCACCAGATGTGACATGCCGGGCTTGTAAGTACAAATGGAAATTGAGAGCGAACTGGTGCGTGTTTGCCCACTGGGAATAACATGGTCAAAACTATAATTATTTATTCAGAGAAAGAAGACGGTTTAGGGTTTAGTCTAATTAATTACATTAGCGATGACACCTCATCTGTCATTCCTCCTATGAAAACAGAGAGGAGTTGAACGGAGCGCTGCAAATTGAATGAGTGTTCCTAATTTGTCACATGAATTAATCCAATTAGGCGCTCACTCAAATAAAAGCAGAGACACACAGACTCACTGCACACCTCTCTCTAAATGACCCTCAGCTATAATAGTTCCAGAAAAGAAATCTATCTGACGTCATGATATACTTCATTTTGTATTCCTTCTGTGTTTCGTGATGTAAAACAATCCACACACTCACAGTGTGCCCCTCAGTGACCATTCCCTGCATCCAAATGACCCCTTGTTAAAGCAGAGCTGTGTTTGTTTAAGCCTTGTTATAGCAGGTTGATGGGTTTGATGATCAGAAACGAGATGAGATGTTTTCTTCATAACAAACAGCACAGGAGGCAGGGGATTCCTACTCAACCTACAACAGCTCTGAGTGACAATGGCCATTATTTGACCATTATTTTTTATTATTTTCTGTCAGAAAAATACTCATCACAATTTCCTTGACCTCAAAGTGAGTATTTTTCTAACAGTAGTAGAATCCAGTGTAGAAACCCAAAGTGCAGAATTTACAATGAGTATAAACAGTATATAACACAGAAAGCATTGAATCCTCATGTCTGAGAAGCTAGACCCAGCAATTATTTCCACACAAGTGGAAAATTACAGTTTTAGTTTGTTGCAAAGACTATAGACAAATAAAGGAGTATTCCAGCAATTTAACACTGCACATCCATCCAAAGAAAAAAAAATCAAAACGGCAGAGCCTGAGATATACTTCTGGTTTCATTGACTTTCCAACAAGAAATATTAACAGTCACATCAAACAGAAGCTCTGGAACAGGGATGCTCTCACCCATTGGGGCCCTGCACTGGTTCCCAGTAGGCCCAGTAATCCACCATGCCATACAGCTGTACAGTGGCCAGCAGCCTGTTGTACCAAGTGTAAGATGCATCAGTCCATCAGTGACCAGAGTTCAGAACCGTGGACAGAGCTCACTCAGAGTCAGAGATTAGTCCGATGGATGGAGGTCTCCACCTCGCAGCAGCTCGGACCTGATCTCCCACCATCCATCAAATAAATCAAATAAATGTGCTGGTCTTGAGGAACCTGAGACTTTCCCCAGAGACGAGCTTTTTTACTCTACAGACATCCCTCCCTGTCCTCTGCTGCAGCCTGCACCGGCTCCCTGCTCCTCGCTGCACAGAGTCTGCACAGCAACTCGTAGAAATGCTGTGAAATGCATTTTCTTGTAAACGCATCATATACAGATATCCTGATTGTTTTTGATTTGTAATAGCCTAAGTGTCATGTAGCAGGAGCAGCTTCAGTATGGCGGTATTTCAAGTTACATCTCCCGCACTTCACCGCAAACTGCAAACATGAAACTAAAACCGAATCATTGGCTGACTTTTCTTCACAAAACAATTCACTTTTAATATCATAGACTTTCATTTAGTCCCACCTACAGCATCACTGACGGACAAATGCGACAGCAGATGTAAGGGTTCAGCAATATTAGCTATCAATTCATCTACTTCATCAACAACCAAGCCAAAATAGACATAAATAAAATATCAATAGTAACATACCGGAATGAAATGATGATCCAGCTTCTGTGTGTATTTTTTTAAAATGTAATCATTGTCTTCATCAGCAGGGACTGCCTACGTCGTACCGCCGGTAAATGTAGCTGAAAGGAGCCGCTAGTTGGGGGATGGTCCGGGGGGCTGGTGTCAAGGTTGAAATGATGAAAAGCATGACTTCCGGGAAGCTCTTTCACAATAAACGCTCCATATGTGAACGATGCCCCCACGAGAAATGTGCTGGCGTTTACTATACACAATAAAGTGAAAACATGTGTTTTATCTTTTGTTGGAATATACTAGAAGGCTACTACTACTACTAAAGATACAATGAAGTTACAAACCTGTGTACATGTGTACATCACTTAAACATTTCAGGATGTGTCACAATTACATAAATAGTATCAGGCAAATAAATGAACAAAACTTAAATGACACACGTCACTAATCTAAGATAAAAAATACTTTTAAAGTAGGAAAAAGTAGGAAATTAATCGATAATAATAATAATATAATAATAATATTAATAAATAAGACAGATGAGATTCGTTGTAGGCTGGAGTGATTAGTTGATTAATCAATTAGTTGTAGTGAGTTTGGTCATACAAAACATGAAATATGAAGATGTCACCCTGTACTTTGTAGACCAAACAACTGATTATTTAGCAATGAAAGGAAAGGAAAGAAAAGAAAACCTGATGGATGGCAAAAAAAATGCTCTTTAAGGTTTACATGCAATTATTGTTTCTAAAAAAAATAATTCTTCAAAATTACAGACAATTTATCCCGACAACCTACTCAAACTTAAACTTATCTTTTCATCATATTTGGCTTCTTGGCTTTTCAATCAAATTATCATGCACCATTATTGTTAGTTATTCCCAGACCCTTCAGCCTTAATATATAAAAATATGAAAATTAAAAGTAAAAATCTTGAAAGTTGTTCAGTGAAATTGTTACTGAAATAAAAGTATATAGGCTTAGTATCTTTGCAGAAAGAATGGCCCCTTTGAGTGGAGTAACATGGGCAATATTTGCCTTTTAATTGTACTGGAGTAGATGTAAAGAGAAATGGAATTACTTAAAGTAGGCGTACAAGAAAGTACTTGGAGGCTACATTACTCCAGATTTCATCCAAGGTATTGATAATTTTGTAGAGCTACATTGACCAATTATATGCTTTTATTTTGACATTCACCACACAGTGGTATTTTTCCAACTGCTTATGTAAATTGACATAACACATGACCAATGAAGACTATTTTAAAAATTGTTTAAAAAAACTCACTATAACTTAAAAATGTGTTATGTATAAATACAGTGGTGGAATGTAATTACTGAACAGAAAATTAATCTGCAACTGTTTTGATAATGGAATATTTGTTTTAGTTTTTCATGCAAGAATGTCAAATATTTGCCAAGAATTTGATGCTTTTTTTTGTCCCAAATGAGTGTAAACTGAATATCTCGGGTTTTTGGACTGCTGCTTGAACAATACAAGATGTCCCCTTGATGAAACAAATAATAATAATAAAAAAATCAGCAGATTAATTGATAATGAAAATAAATGACGATAGCAGCCCCAATTTCGGTTACAAAACTAGTTGACAAAACAAGATGTTTGAATGTGTCACTCTGGGTAATTGTAATGTGCATCTCTGACTGAGTTTTACAAACCAAACAATCAATTAATCAGATTAATCCATTATAAAAGTATTTAGTAGTTATTAGTATGTAAAATAATTAAAAGAAAGCTTCACCGTAAGAGTAAAATACTGTTTATACATGTATGAATAATATAATAATCTGATGATGTAATATAAAATTTAATATATATAATATATAAGCCATTTTCTACACTGGCTCCTTTCAAGTACATTTTACTTTTACTCAATTAAAAGTTTGACTGCATGGTTTTTACTTGTAATGGAGTATTTTTACAGTTTCATATTTGTACTTTATTTCAGTGAAGGATCTGAATATTTCTGAATCTTAATACTGGCTAAATAAGTGTAGTTTATCTATTTACAGTATTACTATAGTACTAGCCTATCGGTAGTTAATTGATGCTCATAAACCCAACATAACTTCTTACATTACATTGTAAACAAAGAACTTTGAGTTCTGCCCCAGACTCTACTAATGAAATCTTCCACAATAATATTCCTCTCTTTAAACACTCCTAACACTATTTCTTATAGTCATTCATACAGATGAACTATGAAGGATGGATGTATGGGTGAAAATTCCTAGATCAAGAGTAGTAAGACTCATAGCTGGTGACAGAAAGTTGTAAGGTTGTAAAGTATTGGGTGCCCAAATTTTTGCACATGCTACAATTAGCCTACTGTTTAATTTTATTTTCTATTTTTTAAATTCATGAAATACAAAGTAACAGTGTATTAAAATTTCTGTTTTCTGCCAAATCAACAAAAAAAAGAGAGTAATTTGCCCCAAACTTGCTCCCAAACATACTATCCTATAGGCCTATGTAGAATCACCGACCAGGTGTACCCTCCACACCGGTAGGGGGCAGCACCACCGCAGCCGGCCCCGGCCGAGGGGATAAACCTTCCCGATCAACGACAGTCTTTCCTTCCGGCTCCGGTCCCTTAACAAGTGGAAAGGTAAAGACAGACCCGGCGTTTTAATCTCAATAAATCTTACACATCTCACGATCTAAAATACAATAATATGTAATGTTCGAGTGTCCTTTATATTGCAATGGAAGACGTGAACGTATTTTGGGCTTAAACGTTTTACAATAGTGGATATTTAACTTAGAAGTGATGCAGTAACCCTGATCCAATGTTCACAAATGGCTGCCATTTTTCTCGGCTAACGCAGGCCGCCCTCATCAACGCTAACGTTTATAAAAGTGTGCAGCTAGTGATGTGGACACATGTAAACATTTGGAGCGTTTTTTATGTAATTAGACGTCAGTTGGTAAACCCTCTGTTTCTTAGACCGGTCATCAGCGGCTGTAGCTAAGTTGGCTAGCCAGTTAGCATGCTGTCATGGTGGACGCTCCTGATGTGGAAATTAACGCACAACTTCTTACTTGACGCAGATGCTGATGCCCAAGAAGAACCGCATTGCTATCTACGAGCTCCTCTTCAAGGAGGGAGTCATGGTGGCCAAGAAAGATGTCCACTTGGCCAAGCATCCCGAGCTTGCTGACAAGAATGTGCCCAACCTTCATGTGATGAAAGCGATGCAGGTGAGAAACTGAGTGATGAAGATGTTGAAGGCTGAAAATTGACACTGTAAAAGCTTGTGTTTTTCATCAGGCTAAATCAGACTTACTTCTACAGACACTGCTTAGCTGTGACAGGCACATATGTTGTTATATAGTTTATGGATGGTGTGTTCTTTGGAGGGAAAACTAGGAGTTGTAATGTGATTTCACTGATCATTCACTTCCTGGAACAATTTAAGTCCAGACAACTGTTTCTTACCTTTAACTCTGTGTTTAAGACCAGCACGATTTAATGTGTGAGAATTGCAATATCCAAAATACTTTGTTGCTTTAATAGGAAATTGTTAAGTATTAAAGCTTATATAGCAGTGCTTCCCAACTCGGCTGTATCAGCATTAAACACGCACATAAATGTCCAAGTCACAATAGCTGGGATCCTTTTCCAGAAGCCATGATATATATTTATATAACTTATCATTTTTGTATTCAAAAGCACCTGTAAAGTCTAAGTATGGATGTTTCACATCAGCCAAAGTCCATCCTTCAAGGTCATTGAACCCAGTTGTATTATAGTGCTTAAATGTTTTTTTTACAATCACTGCAATCATACAGCCATTTTTAGTCATCTGAAGGTGTGTGTGTGTTTGCATACTGTAAATGGAAGTCTTTTCCCATCTGTATCCATCCCATTTGTTAGGGATGTGTAATTTCAGTTAAATGGATCAGTTTCATTTCAGGACAGAAGACACAAGAGTGCCCTGATGTTAGCAATGCAGTCAAAGATAATGGTTTTCAAGAGTTCAGAACGCGTTGAATAGAAAAGATTTCTGAGAGAATAAATGAGAAACAGCCGATGCACTTCAAGCAAATGGTAATTAAATCGTAAATGTTAAGAACCATGTCTTGCATTGAAGTTCACAGTTAATGTGTAGGGAGAGCCTTGTGACACTTTCATTTAAATTTGTTCAACAGAATCTAATGAGAAGCTCACTTGAAAAATCATGCTGCTCATGTTCTTGATAATGTTATAATAAAATTCAACTGGGCTATGCTTGTTACTGATTTCTAATCTGTTAAAGATTAATTAGACTTTATTTACACATCAGGGAGGGATTCAGCAGGTTCTGACAAGTCTGGGGACCTAAAGCTGTAAAAGACCCCTATGTAGTAGTATCAAAAGGATTTGGTTGGGATGTGTTGTGGCATTAGTTGATATGTGGTAACTGTGATGTGTCTTTTCTTTAGTCCCTGAAGTCCTGTGGGTATGTCAAGGAGCAATTTGCCTGGCGTCATTTTTACTGGTACCTCACCAATGAGGGTATCCAGTACCTGAGAGACTTCCTCCACCTTCCCCCTGAGATCGTGCCCGCCACCCTGCGCCGCCAGACCCGCCCTGAGACCGCAAGGCCCAGGCCCAAGGGTAAGCTTTCTCATATACACGTAATGTGGTTTTGGTTGAACATTGCTCGCTTTTATTAAGTTTGTTTCAACTAGGAGGTGCTGTATTTCTCAAAAGTCAGCGGTAACTGTACTAATGTTATCCTCCAGTGTCACTAGTATACTAATGTGTCTCAGTTTTAGCTTTCAGAGGACATCAAATTAATTGTAGACTGATTGTAAAATTTGGAATCTGACTTAACTAAACCACAAGTCATTATCCATTGATGTAAACCTGCTGACTGGAAGCATACCAAAGAGCTTAACATCATGGAGAGAAAAGGCTGCAGCCATGGCTCAGTGTTGAGCTCAGCAACTCTGATTGTTGATAGTTTCCAGTTGTGCATCAGCTTGAGAAAAAAATGTAATTTGCTATTCCTAGCCACCAGTTGCATCTCAGTGAAAATTTATAAGATACTTATTTAGTAGGACTTGACAAAAATGACAAAAGCCTGA